TGGGCCCCTTTTCTTTCTGCTGCACTTTCAAAATGCAACAACTGCAGTTTAGTTACCCAATTTAATACTAGTGACCTAGCTATTTAAATGCATGGCCCCTCCTTCCTCCTGCAGATAGACGAATTTAAATGCATTCATTTAACAATAGTGACCTGCGAGTAATGAGATTAATGCTGTAAAGATGGCGCCGTGGCAAGAGCTCTGGTGTGTGCCGTCTGGAGCACGATGGGGTAGTCTTTGCACATTTTTTCCAACGTGGTTTTACTGCAAGTGGCAGAACATGAATGTGAATTAATGCACATTGCTCCTCTTATATCCCTCAGACAATAGAGATTGATGCCATTTAAGATGCATTGCCCCTCAGTTAGCTCAAACACGTGTGAAAACGGAGCCTGCAGACCAAGCACGGGGCAAAAACTGACGCCTGCAGTGAAGTGCGTAGGACAAAAACCAGCCACCTGCAGCCTAGACTCCGGGATTAAACTGTCCGCGGTCGGCACACTCACTGTACTCACATGCCAGGAGACTTGGGAAAGCAACGGGACAACGCGGCACCGCCAATCGGAGGCAGGGACACGCACGGCACCGCCAGACCGTCTGCGCGCGGCAGCAGACCACGAGGAGGGGCCCCGCGGAGCAGCCCGCAGAAGAGCCCGCAGAGGAGGAGAGCAGTGGAGACACGCGAACCACAGCAGGTGCAGGGACGTGGAGGAGGAGCAGACCATGAGCAGCCAGACTGAGGACAGCCGGCCACGCGCACGAGCAACACGTGAGCAGAAGCGACCCCTCCAGAACAACGCATGCATTTGCGAACAGGTGCGTTAGCGACATGCACCTTGCAGACTTCAGAAGTTTGCAAACTTCAGAAGGCCGGGAAGTGGGCGTCTCCGGCTTTTAACTTGCTGTCCTGGTGGTTATTGGTGGATTAGATGTGGGCGTTTTGCTGGTGTAATGAGTAGAGGATGAGCAGGCTTGTAGATCTGGCAGCAGTGGCCGGGTCTACCACAGTGAACTTTCGCGAAGAGCTTCATTAGTAGCGAAGAAGATGACAAAGTCTGGGATCGCGTCTTTAATTCAGACAGAAGACATGTTTTATTGTCGATGATAGAGACAGCACGAACAAAGGATGTAACAAACTGTTAGTGATAATATAGCATGGGAGAATGAAGTCCTCCAATCAGCAGCTGCCACAGTGCCAGCAGAGAGAGTCAAAACATGAAGTGGAAAAGTACTGGCTTCTGCATATTCATAGAATGATGAGTTTAACTTTAACAAAAGTTGCTTCAAAGTGTTATGAAATCTCACAGTAGTAAAAGTAGTAGCAGTAGTAGTAGAATAAAGAGTAGTAGTAGTTCAAATAGTAGCAGTAGTAGCAGTAGTAGTAGTTGTTGTAGTAGTTGTTGTTGTAGTAGTAGTGGCAGTAGTAGTAGCAGTAACAAGAGCAGCAGCAGTAGTAGCAGGGTTCTGGTAAGGGTGCTTTCAGACTGCCAACGCTGAATCGCTGAAGCCCCGCATTCTCTAGTTTTCAGACGCAGAGGTCTTCACACCGAGATGTCCTGACGCGCCCCGGAAGTGCCGGAAGTAGCCGGCTCTGATCCTAACAGAGTTTAGCTAGCGGCTTCTTGTGTACAGATCTTCTCCAACATGCAGCTTTGCAGCGTGTCTTTGCTCAGAGACCTTCCAGAGACTTTATATAACAGCAGTATGTGTTCACGGAGGTGACTTTATATAACAGCAGTATGTGTTCACGGAGGTGACTTTATATAACAGCAGTATGTGTTCACGGAGGTGACTTTATATAACAGCAGTATGTGTTCACGGTGACTTTATATAACAGCAGTATGTGTTCACGGAGGTGACTTTATACAACAGTAATATGTGTTCACTGAGGTGACTTTATATAACAGCAGTATGTGTTCACTGAGGTGACTTTATATAACAGCAGTATGTGTTCACGGAGGTGACTTTATATAACAGCAGTATGTGTTCACGGAGGTGACTTTATATAACAGCAGTATGTGTTCACGGAGGTGACTTTATATAACAGCAGTATGTGTTCACGGAGGTGACTTTATATAACAGCAGTATGTGTTCACGGAGGTGACTTTATATAACAGCAGTATGTGTTCACGGAGGTGACTTTATACAACAGTAATATGTGTTCACTGAGGTGCGCCATACGTGTTTTCATATTATTAAACGGTATTTCCGCATCGGCGAACACACTCGAAGCCGTTGCATAAGGTCACGGGAGCATGACAACCCATATGTTCACAAGCACAGAGTCCCCCATTGTCAACCCTGGTTTGAGTTCTGCTGAAGTCTGGTGTGGGTCCTGTTTTGGCTGTGTATGAGTATTTTCAGTCTGCTCGCTCAGTCCGCTAATGTCCCCGTGACCACTTTGCTGCTCTCTGATTGGTCGCTGCACGAACGTCCCAAGGAAAGGATGAGCAGAATCAGAATCATTTTTATTCCCATGTAAGTAACAGGAAGTCACAGACTTGGAAATTGTGGGCATCAATTTTTTGCTCCTGCTCCTCCCCTTTGACTTTCCCGCCAAGTCCGTGCGTCTCTACTGAACAGTCTGTCCGTGCGTGTCTACTGAACAGTCCGTCCGTGCGTGTCTACTGAACAGTCCGTCCGTGCGTCTCTACTGAACAGTCTGTCCGTGCGTCTCTACTGAACAGTCCGTCCGTGCGTCTCTACTGAACAGTCTGTCCGTGCGTGTCTACTGAACAGTCCGTCCGTGCGTCTCTACTGAACAGTCTGTCCGTGCGTGTCTACTGAACAGTCCGTGCGTCTCTACTAAACAGTCCGTCAGTGCGTCTCTACTGAACAGTCTGTCCGTGCGTGTCTACTGAACAGTCCGTGCGTCTCTACTAAACAGTCCGTCCGTGCGTCTCTACTGAACAGTCTGTCCGTGCGTGTCTACTGAACAGTCCGTGCGTCTCTACTAAACAGTCCGTCAGTGCGTGTCTACTGAACAGTCCGTCCGTGCGTGTCTACTGAACAGTCCGTCCGTGCGTCTCTACTGAACAGTCCGTCCGTGCGTCTCTACTGAACAGTCCGTCCGTGCGTCTCTACTGAACAGTCCGTCCGTGCGTCTCTACTGAACAGTCCGTCCGTGCGTGTCTACTGAACAGTCCGTCAGTGCGTGTCTACTGAACAGTCCGTCAGTGCGTGTCTACTGAACAGTCCGTCAGTGCGTCTCTACTGAACAGTCCGTCCGTGCGTCTCTACTGAACAGTCTGTCCGTGCGTGTCTACTGAACAGTCCGTCAGTGCGTCTCTACTGAACAGTCAGTGCGTGTCTACTGAACAGTCCGTGCGTGTCTACTGAACAGTCCGTCAGTGCGTGTCTACTGAACAGTCCGTCCGTGCGTGCCGAGAGGTCCGTGCGTTGTGACGCTCGAACGCTCGTCACCGTAGACTTTACATTGAAAGCTGACGCAGCATGATCCGGTCTGAAAGCACCTTTAGAGTTAGGATTTTGGTTTGGGATACACAGGTCAAATGAGGCTCACAAGAACATCCTGAAACCTCTTTTGTACGACCCGGGTTTGCCCCTGTTTTGGATTTTCCACAGACCCCGGTTTGCCCTCGACACCAAAGCTTTTCTTTTGTTTTTATTCCAAGGATTTTCCCGAGCCACATGCAGATCATCACCATATTTAAATGAAGACATGCTTACACTGGGAGGGATTCACACCATGCAGCAGTCGGCTGCTCAGGCTATTTTAGGTCGCAACAGTTGCCTGTGTTACTGCAGAAGTGTGAGGGGAAGGGGAAGCACAGGGGAGTACCAGCTGTTTACCCAGATCCCCCAAATGTGTCACATATTTAATGAATGTCCTTATTATAGTTTATATTTCTGCTGTAGTTCATTCACTTACACCAGGCATATCAAATTCAGGCTCGTGGGCCAAATCCAGCCCTCATGACGATTTTTATATTTTACTCTCCCCTGATTGGGAGTGTTTCCACTGGACCTGTTTAACTGATACCAGGTCCAGAGTAGAGTAGAGTAGAGACTGGTGGAAACTGAGCTATAGTGTACTGTATGTGTCAGTGCTTTATGTTTAAACAAAAATATGAAATTGTTGGAAAAAAGACTGTCAATGTCCCAATACTAAAACAGGATCACTGTGGGAGTGTTGAGTGAGGTGGAGAGTTGCAGTGGGCCGGGATGGGGGGAAAGGGTGAGTGTGGGGGAGGCGAGTGGAGACCTGTCCCAGCCTGAGGAGCTCCTTCCTGGGTACTGCCTATGTCTCCAGAAAACATCCACCAGGACTGTCATTAAGTCTGGTTTACTCCCACCACAAACATACACACACACACACACACAAACATACACACACACACACACACAAACATACACACACACACACACACACACACACACACACACACACACACACACACACACACATACACATACACACACACACACACATACACACACGCACACACACACACACACACACACACACACACACACACACACACACACACACACAGAAGGCATGTCAGTGCCGTCCCTGCTCCAGCAGAATCCATCTCTTGTGCCGGGAATTGATCCAAAAGCATTGATCAAATCTTGTGTCACGCAAGTCTTCTGGTCAGTCCATACATCCATCTGGTCAAAAGTGCAATACATCAACACCGAACATGACATTTCATGTAAACATTACATTTCAAAACAGTTCAAAATGTAAATTGAAAAAGTTTTCAAATGAAATGCAATAGAAAATTAAACACCAAGTGCAAATGGACTCTGGAACTCCAAACTAAAACTCTACAGGTATATGTTGGAATTATTGTCTTATTGGGCCAGTAAGTTTGGTTTAAACACCTGGAGATGTTGTGTGGTTTAAACACCTGGAGATGTTGTGTGGTTTAAACACCTGGAGATGTTGTGTGGTTTAAACACTTGAGAGCAGAGTGTGTTAAAACCACAATCATATCTTATATTCAAAGCAGTATCCACAGAGTAAATCTCAAATGATTCATCTTCAGCAGTCTGTGATCGGCAGGTTCAAAACTGTGTGTTTGTCCCAGTGGCAGACGTGTGAGCTCCACCCAGACATCAGCAGGAATGTGGACTACAGACATCAGGGACAACATGAGGACTACAGACATCAGGGACAACATGAGGACTACAGACATCAGGGACAACATGAGGACTACAGACATCAGGGACAACATGAGGACTACAGACATCAGGGACAACATGGAGGACTACAGACATCAGGGACAACATGGAGCACTACAGACATCAGGGACAACACAGACATCAGGGACAACATGGAGGACTACAGACATCAGGGACAACACAGACATCAGGGACAACATGAGGACTACAGACATCAGGGACAACATGAGGACTACAGACATCAGGGACAACATGGAGGACTACAGACATCAGGGACAACATGGAGCACTACAGACATCAGGGACAACATGAGGACTACAGACATCAGGGACAACATGAGGACTACAGACATCAGGGACAACATGAGGACTACAGACATCAGGGACAACATGGAGGACTACAGACATCAGGGACAACATGAGGACTACAGACATCAGGGACAACATGAGGACTACAGACATCAGGGACAACATGAGGACTACAGACATCAGGGACAACATGGAGCACTACAGACATCAGGGACAACATGGAACACTACAGACATCAGGGACAACATGGAGGACTACAGACATCAGGGACAACATGGAGGACTACAGACATCAGGGACAACATGAGGACTACAGACATCAGGGACAACATGGAGGACTACAGACATCAGGGACAACATGAGGACTACAGACATCAGGGACAACATGGAGCACTACAGACATCAGGGACAACATGAGGACTACAGACATCAGGGACAACATGAGGACTACAGACATCAGGGACAACATGGAGGACTACAGACATCAGGGACAACATGGAGCACTACAGACATCAGGGACAACATGAGGACTACAGACATCAGGGACAACATGGAGCACTACAGACATCAGGGACAACACAGACATCAGGGACAACATGAGGACTACAGACATCAGGGACAACATGGAGCACTACAGACATCAGGGACAACATGGAGCACTACAGACATCAGGGACAACATGGAGCACTACAGACATCAGGGACAACATGAGGACTACAGACATCAGGGACAAACATGGAGCACTACAGACATCAGGGACAACATGGAGCACTACAGACATCAGGGACAACATGGAGGACTACAGACATCAGGGACAACATGGAGCACTACAGACATCAGGGACAACATGAGGACTACAGACATCAGGGACAACATGGAGCACTACAGACATCAGGGACAACATGGAGGACTACAGACATCAGGGACAACATGGAGCACTACAGACATCAGGGACAACATGGAGGACTACAGACATCAGGGACAACATGGAGCACTACAGACATCAGGGACAACATGGAGGACTACAGACATCAGGGACAACATGGAGCACTACAGACATCAGGGACAACATGGAGCACTACAGACATCAGGGACAACATGAGGACTACAGACATCAGGGACAACATGGAGGACTACAGACATCAGGGACAACATGGAGGACTACAGACATCAGGGACAACATGGAGCACTACAGACATCAGGGACAACATGGAGCACTACAGACATCAGGGACAACATGAGGACTACAGACATCAGGGACAACATGGAGCACTACAGACATCAGGGACAACATGAGGACTACAGACATCAGGGACAACATGGAGCACTACAGACATCAGGGACAACATGGAGGACTACAGACATCAGGGACAACATGGAGCACTACAGACATCAGGGACAACATGAGGACTACAGACATCAGGGACAACATGAGGACTACAGACATCAGGGACAACATGGAGGACTACAGACATCAGGGACAACATGGAGCACTACAGACATCAGGGACAACATGAGGACTACAGACATCAGGGACAACATGAGGACTACAGACATCAGGGACAACATGGAACACTACAGACATCAGGGACAACATGGAGGACTACAGACATCAGGGACAACATGAGGACTACAGACATCAGGGACAACATGAGGATTACAGACATCAGGGACAACATGGAGCACTACAGACATCAGGGACAACATGAGGACTACAGACATCAGGGACAACACAGACATGGAGGACTACAGACATCAGGAAATGGGACAACATGAGGGACTACAGACATCAGGGACAACATGGAGCACTACAGACATCAGGGACAACATGGAGGACTACAGACATCAGGGACAACATGGAGGACTACAGACATCAGGGACAACATGAGGACTACAGACATCAGGGACAACATGGAGCACTACAGACATCAGGGACAACATGGAGGACTACAGACATCAGGGACAACATGAGGACTACAGACATCAGGGACAACATGGAGCACTACAGACATCAGGGACAACATGAGGACTACAGACATCAGGGACAACATGAAGCACTACAGACATCAGGGACAACATGGAGCACTACAGACATCAGGGACAACATGGAGGACTACAGACATCAGGGACAACATGGAGCACTACAGACATCAGGGACAACATGGAGGACTACAGACATCAGGGACAACATGGAGGACTACAGACATCAGGGACAACATGGAGGACTACAGACATCAGGGACAACATGGAGGACTACAGACATCAGGGACAACATGGAGCACTACAGACATCAGGGACAACATGAGGACTACAGACATCAGGGACAACATGGAGGACTACAGACATCAGGGACAACATGAGGACTACAGACATCAGGGACAACATGGAGGACTACAGACATCAGGGACAACATGGAGGACTACAGACATCAGGGACAACATGAGGACTACAGACATCAGGGACAACATGAGGACTACAGACATCAGGGACAACATGGAGCACTACAGACATCAGGGACAACATGAAGGACTACAGACATCAGGGACAACATGGAGCACTACAGACATCAGGGACAACATGGAACACTACAGACATCAGGGACAACATGGAGGACTACAGACATCAGGGACAACATGGAGGACTACAGACATCAGGGACAACATGGAACACTACAGACATCAGGGACAACATGGAGGACTACAGACATCAGGGACAACATGGAGGACTACAGACATCAGGGACAACATGAGGACTACAGACATCAGGGACAACATGGAACACTACAGACATCAGGGACAACATGAGGACTACAGACATCAGGGACAACATGGAGCACTACAGACATCAGGGACAACATGGAACACTACAGACATCAGGGACAACATGGAGGACTACAGACATCAGGGACAACATGGAGGACTACAGACATCAGGGACAACATGAGGACTACAGACATCAGGGACAACATGAGGACTACAGACATCAGGGACAACATGAGGACTACAGACATCAGGGACAACATGGACCACTACAGACATCAGGGACAACATGGAGGACTACAGACATCAGGGACAACATGAGGACTACAGACATCAGGGACAACATGGAGCACTACAGACATCAGGGACAACATGGAACACTACAGACATCAGGGACAACATGGAGGACTACAGACATCAGGGACAACATGGAGCACTACAGACATCAGGGACAACATGAGGACTACAGACATCAGGGACAACACAGACATCAGGGACAACATGAGGACTACAGACATCAGGGACAACATGGAGGACTACAGACATCAGGGACAACATGGAGGACTACAGACATCAGGGACAACATGGAGCACTACAGACATCAGGGACAACATGAGGACTACAGACATCAGGGACAACATGAGGACTACAGACATCAGGGACAACATGGAACACTACAGACATCAGGGACAACATGGAGGACTACAGACATCAGGGACAACATGAGGACTACAGACATCAGGGACAACATGAGGACTACAGACATCAGGGACAACATGGAGGACTACAGACATCAGGGACAACATGAGGACTACAGACATCAGGGACAACATGGAGGACTACAGACATCAGGGACAACATGAGGACTACAGACATCAGGGACAACATGGAGCACTACAGACATCAGGGACAACATGGAGGACTACAGACATCAGGGACAACATGGAGGACTACAGACATCAGGGACAACATGGAGCACTACAGACATCAGGGACAACATGGAGGACTACAGACATCAGGGACAACATGAGGACTACAGACATCAGGGACAACATGGAGCACTACAGACATCAGGGACAACATGAGGACTACAGACATCAGGGACAACATGAGGACTACAGACATCAGGGACAACATGGAGCACTACAGACATCAGGGACAACATGGAGCACTACAGACATCAGGGACAACATGGAGGACTACAGACATCAGGGACAACATGGAGGACTACAGACATCAGGGACAACATGGAGGACTACAGACATCAGGGACAACATGGAGCACTACAGACATCAGGGACAACATGAGGACTACAGACATCAGGGACAACATGGAGGACTACAGACATCAGGGACAACATGAGGACTACAGACATCAGGGACAACATGGAGGACTACAGACATCAGGGACAACATGGAGGACTACAGACATCAGGGACAACATGAGGACTACAGACATCAGGGACAACATGAGGACTACAGACATCAGGGACAACATGAGGACTACAGACATCAGGGACAACATGGAGCACTACAGACATCAGGGACAACATGGAGGACTACAGACATCAGGGACAACATGAGGACTACAGACATCAGGGACAACATGAGGACTACAGACATCAGGGACAACATGGAGGACTACAGACATCAGGGACAACATGAGGACTACAGACATCAGGGACAACATGAGGACTACAGACATCAGGGACAACATGGAGGACTACAGACATCAGGGACAACATGGAGCACTACAGACATCAGGGACAACATGGAGCACTACAGACATCAGGGACAACATGAGGACTACAGACATCAGGGACAACATGGAGGACTACAGACATCAGGGACAACATGAGGACTACAGACATCAGGGACAACATGGAGGACTACAGACATCAGGGACAACATGGAGCACTACAGACATCAGGGACAACATGGAGGACTACAGACATCAGGGACAACATGGAGCACTACAGACATCAGGGACAACATGGAGGACTACAGACATCAGGGACAACATGGAGGACTACAGACATCAGGGACAACATGAGGACTACAGACATCAGGGACAACATGAGGACTACAGACATCAGGGACAACATGGAGCACTACAGACATCAGGGACAACATGGAGCACTACAGACATCAGGGACAACATGGAGGACTACAGACATCAGGCACAACACAGACATCAGGGACAACATGAGGACTACAGACATCAGGGACAACATGGAGGACTACAGACATCAGGGACAACATGGAGGACTACAGACATCAGGGACAACATGAGGACTACAGACATCAGGGACAACATGGAGCACTACAGACATCAGGGACAACATGGAGGACTACAGACATCAGGGACAACATGAGGACTACAGACATCAGGGACAACATGAAGCACTACAGACATCAGGGACAACATGGAGCACTACAGACATCAGGGACAACATGGAACACTACAGACATCAGGGACAACATGGAGGACTACAGACATCAGGGACAACATGAAGCACTACAGACATCAGGGACAACATGGAGCACTACAGACATCAGGGACAACATGGAACACTACAGACATCAGGGACAACATGGAGGACTACAGACATCAGGGACAACATGGAGCACTACAGACATCAGGGACAACATGAAGCACTACAGACATCAGGGACAACATGGAGCACTACAGACATCAGGGACAACATGGAGCACTACAGACATCAGGGACAACATGGAGGACTACAGACATCAGGGACAACATGGAGGACTACAGACATCAGGGACAACATGGAGCACTACAGACATCAGGGACAACATGGAGGACTACAGACATCAGGGACAACATGGAGGACTACAGACATCAGGGACAACATGGAGGACTACAGACATCAGGGACAACATGAGGACTACAGACATCAGGGACAAAATGAGGACTACAGACATCAGGGACAACATGAAGCACTACAGACATCAGGGACAACATGGAACACTACAGACATCAGGGACAACATGGAGCACTACAGACATCAGGGACAACATGGAACACTACAGACATCAGGGACAACATGGAGGACTACAGACATCAGGGACAACATGGAGGACTACAGACATCAGGGACAACATGAGGACTACAGACATCAGGGACAACATGGAGCACTACAGACATCAGGGACAACATGAGGACTACAGACATCAGGGACAACATGGAGGACTACAGACATCAGGGACAACATGGAGCACTACAGACATCAGGGACAACATGGAGGACTACAGACATCAGGGACAACATGGAGGACTACAGACATCAGGGACAACATGGAGGACTACAGACATCAGGGACAACATGGAGCACTACAGACATCAGGGACAACATGAGGACTACAGACATCAGGGACAACATGGAGGACTACAGACATCAGGGACAACATGAGGACTACAGACATCAGGGACAACATGAGGACTACAGACATCAGGGACAACATGGAGGACTACAGACATCAGGGACAACATGAGGACTACAGACATCAGGGACAACATGGAGGACTACAGACATCAGGGACAACATGGAGCACTACAGACATCAGGGACAACATGAGGACTACAGACATCAGGGACAACATGGAGGACTACAGACATCAGGGACAACATGGAACACTACAGACATCAGGGACAACATGGAGGACTACAGACATCAGGGACAACATGAGGACTACAGACATCAGGGACAACATGGAGCACTACAGACATCAGGGACAACATGAGGACTACAGACATCAGGGACAACATGGAGCACTACAGACATCAGGGACAACATGGAGGACTACAGACATCAGGGACAACATGGAGGACTACAGACATCAGGGACAACATGGAGGACTACAGACATCAGGGACAACATGAGGACTACAGACATCAGGGACAACATGGAGCACTACAGACATCAGGGACAACATGAGGACTACAGACATCAGGGACAACATGAGGACTACAGACATCAGGGACAACATGGAGGACTACAGACATCAGGGACAACATGAAGCACTACAGACATCAGGGACAACGTGAGGACTACAGACATCAGGGACAACATGGAGCACTACAGACATCAGGGACAACATGGAGGACTACAGACATCAGGGACAACATGGAACACTACAGACATCAGGGACAACATGGAGGACTACAGACATCAGGGACAACATGAGGACTACAGACATCAGGGACAACATGGAGGACTACAGACATCAGGGACAACATGGAGGACTACAGACATCAGGGACAACATGGAGGACTACAGACATCAGGGACAACATGAGGACTACAGACATCAGGGACAACATGGAGGACTACAGACATCAGGGACAACATGAGGACTACAGACATCAGGGACAACATGGAGGACTACAGACATCAGGGACAACATGAGGACTACAGACATCAGGGACAACATGAAGCACTACAGACATCAGGGACAACATGGAGGACTACAGACATCAGGGACAACATGAAGCACTACAGACATCAGGGACAACATGGAGGACTACAGACATCAGGGACAACATGGAGGACTACAGACATCAGGGACAACATGGAGCACTACAGACATCAGGGACAACATGAGGACTACAGACATCAGGGACAACATGGAGGACTACAGACATCAGGGACAACATGGAGCACTACAGACATCAGGGACAACATGAGGACTACAGACATCAGGGACAACATGGAGGACTACAGACATCAGGGACAACATGGAGCACTACAGACATCAGGGACAACATGGAGGACTACAGACATCAGGGACAACATGACAGACATCAGGGACAACATGAGGACTACAGACATCAGGGACAACATGGAGGACTACAGACATCAGGGACAACATGAGGACTACAGACATCAGGGACAACATGAGACTACAGACATCAGGGACAACATGAGACTACAGACATCAGGGACAACATGGACACAGACACAGGACAACATGAGGACTACAGACATCAGGGACAACATGGAGGACTACAGACATCAGGGACAACATGAGGACTACAGACATCAGGGACAACATGAGGACTACAGACATCAGGGACAACATGGAGACTACAGACATCAGGGACAACATGAGGACTACAGACATCAGGACAGAGACTATCGGGACAACATGAGACTACAGACATCAGGGACAACATGAGGACTACAGACATCAGGGACAACATGGGACTACAGACATCAGGACACATGGAGACTACAGACATCAGGGACAACATGGAGGACTACAGACATCAGGGACAACATGGAGGACTACAGACATCAGGGACAACATGGAGGACTACAGACATCAGGGACAACATGGAGGACTACAGACATCAGGGACAACATGGAGGACTACAGACATCAGGGACAACATGGAGGACTACAGACATCAGGGACAACATGGAGGACTACAGACATCAGGGACAACATGGAGGACTACAGACATCAGGGACAACATGAGGACTACAGACATCAGGGACAACATGGAGGACTACAGACATCAGGGACAACATGGAGGACTACAGACATCAGGGACAACATGGAGGACTACAGACATCAGGGACAACATGGAGGACTACAGACATCAGGGACAACATGAGGCTACACACATCAGGGACAACATGAGGACTACAGACATCAGGGACAACATGAGACTACAGACATCAGGGACAACATGGAGGACTACAGACATCAGGGACAACATGGAGGACTACAGACATCAGGGACAACATGAGGACTACAGACATCAGGGACAACATGAGACTACAGACATCAGGGACAACATGGAGGACTACAGACATCAGGGACAACATGGAGCACTACAGACATCAGGGACAACATGGAGGACTACAGACATCAGGGACAACATGGAGGACTACAGACATCAGGGACAACATGGAGGACTACAGACATCAGGGACAACATGGAGGACTACAGACATCAGGGACAACATGGAGGACTACAGACATCAGGGACAACATGGAGGACTACAGACATCAGGGACAACATGGAGGACTACAGACATCAGGGACAACATGGAGGACTACAGACATCAGGGACAACATGGAGGACTACAGACATCAGGGACAACATGGAGGACTACAGACATCAGGGACAACATGGAGGACTACAGACATCAGGGACAACATGGAGGACTACAGACATCAGGGACAAACATGAGGACTACAGACATCAGGGACAACATGAGGACTACAGACATCAGGGACAACATGAGGACTACAGACATCAGGGACAACATGAGGACTACAGACATCAGGGACAACATGGAGGACTACAGACATCAGGGACAACATGGAGGACTACAGACATCAGGGACAACATGAGGACTACAGACATCAGGGACAACATGAGGACTACAGACATCAGGGACAACATGGAGGACTACAGACATCAGGGACAACATGGAGCACTACAGACATCAGGGACAACATGGAGCACTACAGACATCAGGGACAACATGAGGACTACAGACATCAGGGACAACATGAGGACTACAGACATCAGGGACAACATGGAGCACTACAGACATCAGGGACAACATGGAGCACTACAGACATCAGGGACAACATGGAGCACTACAGACATCAGGGACAACATGGAGCACTACAGACATCAGGGACAACATGAGGACTACAGACATCAGGGACAACATGAGGACTACAGACATCAGGGACAACATGGAACACTACAGACATCAGGGACAACATGAAGCACTACAGACATCAGGGACAACATGGAGGACTACAGACATCAGGGACAACATGGAGGACTACAGACATCAGGGACAACATGGAGGACTACAGACATCAGAGACAACATGGAGGACTACAGACATCAGGGACAACATGGAGGACTACAGACATCAGGGACAACATGAGGACTACAGACATCAGGGACAACATGGAGGACTACAGACATCAGGGACAACATGAGGACTACAGACATCAGGGACAACATGGAGGACTACAGACATCAGGGACAACATGAGGACTACAGACATCAGGGACAACATGAAGCACTACAGACATCAGGGACAACATGGAGGACTACAGACATCAGGGACAACATGAAGCACTACAGACATCAGGGACAACATGGAGGACTACAGACATCAGGGACAACATGGAGGACTACAGACATCAGGGACAACATGGAGCACTACAGACATCAGGGACAACATGAGGACTACAGACATCAGGGACAACATGGAGGACTACAGACATCAGGGACAACATGGAGCACTACAGACATCAGGGACAACATGGAGGACTACAGACATCAGGGACAACATGAGGACTACAGACATCAGGGACAACATGGAGGACTACAGACATCAGGGACAACATGAGGACTACAGACATCAGGGACAACATGAGGACTACAGACATCAGGGACAACATGAGGACTAGAGATGCAGTGACTAAAGAGCTGCTTCAGTCCTGCATTGCGTGGCCTTGGTCCTCGTTCTACAGTCTGACTACTGGATCTACAGACTGTCTGTTGGTGGGAGTGGATCCTTCTCTCAATGCCCACTGGGTTTTTAGAGTTTTTCTTGCAGATGCAGGAGAGTCTAAGGACAGCTGTGATGATCAAAGACACTCAACCTTCAACAACATTCATGGACATTTATCAACATTTATGGATATTGCCCATCTTCCCTTTCACAGATCAAAATGCATTAAAAAGTCATAAATATACAATTATTTAATATCAAGATAAAGCAGAAAAAAATGGGGTTTAAAAAAAGGCCAATAAAAGTAATAAGTAGTACAAAATAGAATCAGTCAGTTGTATGCGCAGCTAAAGAGATGTGTTTTCAGCCTAGTTTTGAGCATGGTCAGAGTAGAGGCTTGCGTCACAACCACAGGAAGGCCGTTCATATCCTAGCTGCATGAATCTGAGGCCCTGTCCACACGAAGTCAAGCTCAGGCCTAAACGCAAAAATACTTTATCAATCCAGTGTATGGTCCATACGAGGCCGGCGTTTTGGGGGGGTGTAAACGAACATTTTTGAAACTAGGTCCCAGAGTGGAAAGATTTCAAAACTCCGTATATGCCGCTCCGTGGTTACTGCCTCTCCGCAATGTATCTGAGACGCGTCATCGCCCCGCCTCTTGTTAAAGCAGCATGCGCCGCACTCAGAAAATAATGACAACAACAATGTAGCTTGTTGGTTTTGTAATCCAGTGTGACCCGAAGCAACAGTTCAACCTCATCGTCCGCCCATACTAATGTAGTACCAGCTCGCCCACTCGCCATGTTGTCTGTTTACAACATTCTGCACATGCCCAGTTCCCGTCACGGAAGTTTGGGCTTGATCCCGTCATTGCGTCACAGCGCCACCAACAGGTCTGGCATAGTTTCACAGCGTTTTCAGGCGTATTGACTACATTCATATGGACGCACACATTTACTGAGCTAACTCCGTGTTTACAGAAAAAGTTTCTGAAATTATAAGCGTTTTGTCTTCGTGTGGATATAGCCTGAAACGCTGCCTCCCCATGTTTCGTCTTAAACCTGGTCACCTGCAGGAGGCCAGCCCCTGTGCTTCTCAGAGTCCGAGCGGGTTCATATGGGACTAACATGTCACGGATGTACCCTGGTGCGAGGCCATGGAGAGACTTGAACACAAGCAGAGCTGCTTTGAAGTCTACTCTCTCAGCCACAGAAAGCCAGTGCAGAGACCTGAGGACTGGACTAATGTGATCATACTTCCTGGTTTTGGTCAGGAAACGAGCTGCAGCGTTTTGAATGTACTGCAGCTGTTTTACTGCTTCTTTGGAAAGACCAGTGAGCAGGCCATTGCAGTAGTCTAACCTACTGGAGACAAATGGATCTCTAAGTCTGCTTTAGACACTATGTTTTTGATTCTCGCAATGTTCTTTAAGTGATAAAAAGTGGTTGATGTCACCGATTTGATGTGGCTATTAAAATTCAGGTCAGAGTCCAGAGTCTTTATGTGTTTTTTATCATTGCATTTCTTGTGTTTGAACTGTTTGATTCTCTGTGTTGAGTCAGTTGTGTCAGTTTTGTAAAGTCCTCAGAGACAACTACTGTTGTGATTTAGGGCTAAACGAGAATGAATTACATTTAATTGACTAGAGAGGAAACATGGAGGACTAGACGTCACTAAACATGGAGGACTACAGATTCAGAAAACTTTATTGATTGAAGGGCAATTAATTTGCAGCAGAATCTCGGAGCAGAACACTAAGACCCAGACACTTCACACTTCACACACACACACACACACACACAGAGTCAGGCCTCACAATTCACGCAGCAGGAGGTTTAGGTTTAAAATGAAAAAAATACAATAAAAACACAACAATTACCAAAACTCAAACACCTCCACCAGAGTTTAGTCATTTTATAGCAGAGGACACAAAAGAATGTGTCACTGAGAACATTGAGGACTTCAGCTCGGACTGGATCAGAATTTCCCTGCATTACACAGATACTGCAACATAGCCTATTTATCAAATGCTGCCTTTTCCAAAATAAAAATAAAAGTTAATGATGCCTTCTTTATATTTAAGGTTTGTTTAATAAGTTTAGAGAGTAAGGAAGCTAGTTCTGCTTGACTACCACTTGTCTCTGTAGTAGACTTCGACCTTCGTCAGACTGGTCTTACATTTTCAAACTCACCTCTGGTCATGAGCTTTGAGTAGAGTGGAGTTTTACTCACTAGTGGAGACAGGAGGAGGAGCTCAGTCACACAGGAGGCTCGGTGTAGAGCCACTGTTCCTCAAGCTGGCCTGGGAACACCTCAAGATTACCCAAAATGAGCTGGAGGAAGTGTGTGTGGAGAGGGAAGTCTGGGCGTCTCTGTTTAGATAAAGTTGATGAAAATGGACGGGTGGAATCTCTCGGTTGCAGATCTGAGGTTTTTTTTAGGCTTTTGTCTTTAGCTCTGATCTCAAGTTTATCCAAACATTACTTTACATTATTAATCATAGAATACCAAAGTCTCAAGATTATGTTTCAAGTCGGGGTACCCATTTTTTCCCCTATAAATAACACATGTAGCATGCAGAAAGGATTGTTTAAAAGTAAAATTTCTGTGTAAAACAAATCATACACAATATGCTGTCCTCATCTTATCTGAAAGCATGTTATCTTTTGGGCAAGAAAATACGTGATGTGAGAGGCCGGATGGAGAGACCCCTGGGAGAGACCCCTGGGAGAGACCGGAGAGAGACCAGCGAGAGACCAAAGAGAGACTGGAGAGAGTATGTGGGAGGCTTTAAATACAAGCATGTGAAAACTATGATAGAAATAAAACTTTTTTGGGAACCAGTGACATAGATTTTATTACATCGTTCCATGTAAAAAAAAAAAAAGATGTAGTTTTAAAGTTTGGTACCCCAGCTTTAAGGAACAAAACAAACACAAGGAATATTTTCCCTTCTCTGCCAGGCCCTGCAGACATGGAGCACTTTTATCAAGGCTGAGTGCACCTTTTCAGCGGCTGATGACTGGTCCGGCTCCTCCTGTTCCAACACACATACACACACACACACACACACACACAGAACACACAACCCCCGGATATGCACTTTTGAATCATTGACTTCAGCCACTAACAGATAAAGAACAGTTGACGTAAGCAGTTGACAAGATGTAGTTTTAGTCTTATCTTTTGAGTCAAATTCAAGATTCTGTCAACTCAGTCTCTGTGGTTTTTGTCAGATCACCAAAATACATTCAGTTCAATTAGTCAACAAAAAAAAGTAGTTCAAAGGTGCCATATAACGCTTTTTGACTTTTCTCTGCTTTAACCATCATTACAGCAGTATTTGGCCTTCATACACATGCCCAGAGTAGTTTTTTCATTGATTCCTTCAAGCTTTAGTTAGAGAGCAATCTTTCCCTTTCATTCTTGAGAGGCAGCGAAACACCCGGGTCCACAACTATGATGATTTCAACATAGATGACAATTATAAATAATTAAATGGTTTCCAAATACTGTCAGGAAAACACGGAAAACAATACACAATAATACATATGCTGTTTGTTGTCAATAAAGATAATACTGAAATCCAGCAGAGTGACAAATTGAAAATGTAAATCACTGCGCACAACCTCTCCCAAGTCCAGAGTCTGTCTATGGTATGGTCCTGCGTCCACTACACGGAGATATTCTGCTAAAGGTGTTAGGATTATGTCAACTTGGGGAAAATTTGTTTTTGGGTGTGAATATGTGACGCATTATTTGGCCCGAAGAAGAAGAATACGGCTGGACTTTTTTTCATAGGTATCTGCCTCTGACGAATCTGTTCATCTGCAACACTTCCATAAGACTGTTCCAGAACCACAGTTACCATGACACTGGACTTACTCAAAAACTGATCTGCAAACATGTGTTATTCCCACGATAAACGACGCTAACACGAAGCCCCAATCTTTAAGTACAATGCTACTAACTCACAGTGTACTTCTGTTAACTCAATAATTAGGGTCTGATTCTGGATCGAGGACAAAAGGCTCGATGTGATAGAGTGCGGGTGAACCTGAACCTTTTTTCTTTTGAAATCCATTGGTTTTCGAAAAAATCTAAAATGGCCACAAACTCAGTTGGCTCTCTTTCAGCTCTGATTGGTCAGAATTCTCGGGTATCCCTCAAACATCTTGGAGACCCTGGGCAGACATCTTGGATACGTCATATACAATTTAATATAATAATAATGAACCCCAAAGTGCTAATGAATTAATTCTGATCTTGTGATTGAACTGATTCCTTAAAAAGTAAATTAAAGTATAATGTAGAAACCCCATCTCACTCGTGCTGATGTGATGTCACACCTTCAGGATCTGGATTCAGGCTCTTAGAGAGAAGAGTCATTCATTTACTTTTGGTCTTTAATCATTTACTTATCAGCAGTTTTAGCCTCAACCTCTAATCTGGTAAGGATTTGTATTTTATTTAAAATCCTGGAAAAAAGAAATAATTCAAGAAAATGTGTCAGTGTATAATATGACTGTGATAAGAACTTTACAGAAGATATGAGACAAAGTCATATTAAAGTATTGTCTATTTTTCCATGAAATAAAACAAGTACGTAGAATTTGTTCCTTATAAAATAATACATGTTTTTGTCCGAATGTTCAGACACAACATGCTGTCTTCATCTTATCAGAAAACATTATTTTTAGTGTAATAGCCTTGTGAGTCACTATTTGACTCTTAGGGCTGAGAGCTGATTGGCTGAGTGAGAGTGGTCCTCTCTTTCTCTCTTTTTTATAGATACATGATGGGAAAACTAGTGATAGAACCTCTCTAATCTATCTCTGGTCTCTCCCTGAACTCTTTTCTGGTCCATCTGAAAAAGATGATCTACAAATGAGAGGCTAAAAATATATGAACTGTTTTAGAGCCAGGAACTAGAGACAAGAGTTTTATTACTGAGCTACAGTTTTTGTAGTTTTAAGGTTAGCTTAAGAAAGTGACAAATACGTAACTGATTTTCGTAGGCAGCACCGATAACTTTATGTTGGGTTTATTGGTTGGGTACAGTGGGGATTTTAGTGTCCTTTGTCATACTGAAGGGTTAGTTTTCCTTTCTTTGAAGAAAAAAAACTCACTTGTGGATGAGTGGCATTTGAAGTATTAATCATAATACATTATAAAGTCAAAGTAAACAAGTTAATGCAAAAAACTCAGGTAAAAGTAAGTAGTAATAAGTAACATTTCAACCAGATTTTGTTCCAACTCATTTATTGAATCCAAACAGGATAAATCAAACATTGTGTTCTGTGTCATATATATAACAACTTTGTTCATGTAAAAATCATTCTCTCTTCGCCCAAATGTCTGTAAACTGTTTGAACTAAAGTGCTTTGAACAAAAACCTAACGCAGCGTGCTAAGCTAATGGAAGCTAACAGCAAAGCTGTGAGGAACACAGGAATACTTCACACAGAGTCCAGTGTAAGACCAACGGGTAAAAACACACAGGGCAGACGAATGATGAGAAACTGTGGAGCACCTTCACTGTCGGCCATCTTAAACATTTCAACCTATTCTTATATATTTATGTCAATATCTCAATCTCCCTTCATTACATTACCGCTTCCAAACTTCCAGTACTTTTGCCAAGGTGGAAAACCCACATCTACATTTCTTTCCACTTTCGTACATCATGCTCTCACCTGCAAACCCCCTCGTCCTGTGCTAAAGCTGGTGTGGCTGATAAAACTCAGCAGACCACTGTCCACCGCAGAACCCATTCTGGACAAACGCATCTTTCATTGAAAGTACAACAGAAACAACTTCTTTATGCCAACATTTTATGCACGTCTTCACACCTCATCATGTAAAGCTCTAAAGTATGCACTATTGTGTTATGACCGAGGGAATATGAGAATGTGTTCTGGTGCTATTATCCTCTCAAAGTGTTTTGACAGCAGCTGACGAACAGAAGATTGAAAAAACTTCTGGGATCAAGAAAACAGCTAAAAAAAACCCTTGCCATGATCCATTATCCAAACAGAACCTAATAAGTTACTAGTTGAACTAGCTGGAGATAGACCAGAGATAGACCAGAGTGAGAGACCAGAGTGAAAGACCAGAGAGAGACCAGAGAGACCAGAGTGAAAGACCAGAGAGAGACCAGAGTTGAACTTTATTACTTTATTATTTACAGGAAGGCAGGGGAAGCATCTGATTGACTTATTGCAGTCCTCAAATTTAGTTTGAGGACAAGTTTAGTCATTGGTAAGATAACAATCAATGATAACATTGATTAAGGTTCGGGGAGGGGACTGGGCCAGACAATCAGGAAACACAATACAAGTAAATCCGTGCAATGCTTACCTTACATTGTGTAAAAAAGGGTTACCCCAATGGCTCTGTAAGTCGGGTCACTTTAGTCCACCTAAACCTCACCATAACACTAATTTTGCCTCTTCAAAAATCTACTCTACAATTTAGGGCTGGGTACTAATTGTACAAGATTTGTACAAGAACTGGCGGTTGGTCTATTTCCCCCTCAAACAAATATTAGTTTTCTTTGTAGATAATCAATAATACAAGAGTTTATTTCAAGACCCAGAGCAAATTAGCTCACAAAAATATATAAATGTATAAAAAAAAAAACATACCCAGCCCATGCAGCGAGGCTAATTCACCATTTGTGCCCAAAGTGAATCTGATTTGGTCATTTTCCGATTGTGAAAAGTGACATCCCGCACAACACAGACCGTAATCTTTATGTTTTTGAATAACCAAAACAAGTCCAAGGTTCCTTTCTAGAGAGAGACCAGAATGAGAACAGAGATAATGCAAAGAGACCCCACAACACTGACAGCAATCTTTGTTTTTGAGGAAATAACCAATAGTTGATTTATAATAGATGGGGACGATATTCTATAATGGCGGACCCTGACTCCACCTCACAACCTGCTTTTACTCAGTCGCACCTTCCTCATCGATTCTCAACTTTCAAAGCGCAGTATCCTCTGAAATCACCCACCGATTCCTTCACATTAAACATACAATTGAAGTCCATCTGTTTGTTCTTTATTTTTTCTTCTTCTGCTGCCGTAGCGCCTTCCTCCTCTTCTGAATCATGTCGTGGAGTCTCTCAATCCCTTCTCGCAGCCCGTCCCCGATGATGGCGCAGGTCGGCTGTAGGTGCCAGGGAGTTGCCGGCCCGAGTTCTTTCAACGCCAACAACTTCTCGATATCCTCGAGGCTCAAGGCGTGCCTCAAGTCCTGCTTGTTTGCTACCAACAATATGGGAACCCCTGTGTTCTCCGACGTCTTTGCAATTTTGTGCAGTTCGGTTTTGGCCTCTTCCATCCGCTCCCCGTCCACAGAATCCACCACAAAGATAATCCCGTCTGTGCAGCGAGTGTAGGACTTCCACAGTGGGCGGAGCTTCTCCTGTCCGCCAACATCCCAGAAGTGATACGTAACCGTCCGGTTTCCACCCAGAGAGACTTTTACCTTCTCTGTGTTGAAGCCCTTAGTTGGGACAGTGTTGACGAACTCGTTAAACTGGAGCCGGTACAGGACCGTGGTTTTGCCAGCTGAGTCTAGTCCCAGAATCGCAATATGAAATGATTGGAAGAACGGGACGTTTGACAGGAAGTTGGGCTGCTCTGATAATCCGTTCCCCATCTTGAATCATGGGGAAGGATTCCGCAGATGTAACAATCCCAAGAGTAAGTCCGATTTTAAGGTGAGGATATTCCAAAACAGCGGTGATCTGAAAGCACAGAGGGATTCAGTTGTTTGATTGTATGGGTGGAGCACAAGAAGAAAGCAATTAATTATAAACCATAAAACCTGAGTCAGCTCCATGAACTAAGTGAGAAGAGAACAAACATGACGCAAACCGGTGGATTCAAGTCATTATATTGTTCATTCAGGCACATTGTTAGCTTTGCCTTGCCTTGTTTGGCTGAGCTCCCAGTCAAACGTGTCCATAAAGCAGTGGATAGACAATTGGTATTGTATTTAGGTCAAATGTCAACAAATGTTAACTTGGCTAACAGGTCTTCTGTTCACATGTTGAAATATACTGCTAGATTTTCCTCAGAGGGTTACATCATGCAAATGTGACTTCAGGGAGATTGAAATTATGTTATCAAAGTTTTTTGAGTGATTCAATGATGTCAAAGAGCTTTAGTTTCTTTTAAAATCATGGTTGAGCTTTAAAACAAACGAAAGTAGAAATGATTGACTCTACACATTTATTAATATCTGGACCGTCACTCATATGTCTTTGTTTTTATACATGTTATATTAGTGACATGTTAGTCCCATATGAACCAGCCCGGACTCTGAGGAGCACAGGGACTGGACTCCTGCTGGGACTCTGAGGAGCACAGGGACTGGACTCCTGCTGGGACTCTGAGGAGCACAGGGACTGGACTCCTGCTGGGACTCTGAGGAGCACAGGGACTGGACTCCTGCTGGGACTCTGAGGAGCACAGGGACTGGACTCCTGCTGGGACTCTGAGGAGCACAGGGACTGGACTCCTGTTAGTGCCCAGAGTCAGAACTAAACATGGGGAGGCTGCTTTTCAGATTCATGCTGCTAAAATCTGGAATAATCTTCCTGAAGATGTGAGACAGGCCTCCTCTCTGACAATGTTTAAAACCAGGTTAAAAACAGTTCTGTGTAACTGTGTATTAGGAGTGTGACAAACTGACGATTAGGGCTGGGATAAACGATTATTTTTTAAACGATTAATCTAGCGATTATTTTTTCGATGCATCGATTAATCTAACGATTATTTTTATCGCTTCGATTCGATTTCGATTCGATTCGATTCTCGATTATCTCCCCATTAATTGACTAATATTGATGTATACATGTTGATTTAAATATTTTAATGAAAAAAACATGAATTCCTTCACAAAAAATATGTATTGCTTGCTCTTAAAATTCAAAAATAAGACATTCTTAGAGGTAGCATAAAACCTTAAAGCCGTGAAAACACAGCTTACTGAAAAAAGTGCATCTTATCATTCTTGAAACAAACATTTGATGCTTAGCATTCAATAAAAATATGAAAAAGTTCAGCCAAATACTTGTGTAGAGCAACTAAAAGAAAACAGTAACCAATGTAAACTTGAAGGCTTTAAGCTAAACAAAGAGTGCTTTTCCAGCAAAAACAGTGGGAGCCATCAGCCTGTCATGGCTACATAAGAGTGTAGAGTGGCCACAGTCAGCAGCCGCGGACTGCTATGAAAACATTAGCTTTGTGGTTTCACAGGCGCAGTTGACTGCTTAAACTAAACTTTGCACGAAACTTTGACTCTTAAAACCCACATGTGACAAAACGGGACCATCAACATCTCGCCTCAAATTGCATTAAAAGTGACATTCGTGTCTTGATTCGTTCGTATTTCAACTTTTAGCAATTCACGGTCCGCCGTCTTGGTTTGCTTCGGCTGCCGTGAGACGCGCATGCGCAGGTTTGCATTACATCATAAACAGCTGAGGCTGTGCATCTCTTCAAGGCAGTGTATCTCAGCGTTACACCGGCTTGCACTTCTCTAACACGGCACTCACATTGCTACCGCTCGCCGCCATCTTTGTTTTGTGTGTGACGCACCGACGCGCATATTATACGTCGGTGTATTTTTTGCGTCGACGTCACCGATTACGTCGACGCGTTGTCCCAGCCCTACTGACGATATATCAATATAACAATATATCGTGATACTTTTTCCCGCAATCGATTATCAATATGCATTTGCCAAGTATCAATTTTGAAGAAAAAGAAAAACATAAAAAAAAAAAATTAGTATCAATACTTCATATATGACTACTTAACTAAAATATATCAATAATCGTTATTGTGATATAATCGCTATCGTGAGCTTTGTATCGCGTATTGTACCGTGAGGTACCCTGAGGTTCCCACCCCTACTGTGTATACAACTGAGGGATTTTAAAATTGTATCTTTCTTTTTTATGTACTGTGATTATTTATGATTTTAATACTATTTTGTTTTGTTCAGCACTTTGAGTTGCCTTGTATATGAATTGTGCTATACAAATAAACTTGCCTTGCCTTATTATTGCATTTCCTGAGCTTATACTGCTTGATTCTCTAAATCTGTTGTTGGCGAATCCACAACTTTGTGAAGTCCTTGAAGACGACTTCAGGACGATAACAAATATATAGAAATCGGTGTCATTCAAATAAATGAGTAAACGGGAAACATGATTCAGAAACATGCTATTTTTACAACTAAAGTTGTAAAAGTTGTCGTTTTGGGTGCATTTCTCACTTATTGATACACTAAAAATAATATTATGCTTATAACAAAATCTCCATTGACGTAAGTTGTTGTCCTAGGAAAAAAAAAAAAAAAACAGTATCCTTTGTTGGCACTAAACATCACACCCAACAGGAGTAGTCTGCTGCCTCCAAAGTGCCACATGGTCCCGTTCACCAGCTCAAACCAGGGGCTATTGTTGCCTTTGCATTTTGCGCAGGTAGTAAGGGCAACGGAAGCTATTAAGTTACAATACACCCAGCACTACAATACGCTCTGGGGCCCCTATAAAACTAAACCATGGGGGCCCCACTGCGCCTGGTCATAATTCTCTGCATGTTTATACCGTTTGCATGTCAACTAGTTTGGGTGGAAATCGCAATCCCGCTGTCGACAAGGACGCGATAAACACATTGATCTTTCCCCATTCGCTTCAATTATTCGGATTGAGACGAATGTGATCAGACAAATACAGGATGGATGTGGTGTGAGAGGGTTCGTTAACAGTTTGCAGAGGTTTACAACGCGCAGTGCAGGTGAATAGCTCCACACACACACACACACACACACACACACACACACAGACACAAAAAGCCTTACACAAAAAGCCATGCGCATTCATTGGTAGTCAGGACGTACCCACCGTTTGCGCCTTGGATCCCAGAGTAATCCTCACTCCAGCCCGCGTGAATCTCGCATCCAATGTCCAAAATCACACAACACGCTCCATTCTCGTGTTAGAAATGTCCAGTCCTTGAATCTGGGTGGGAACACGGTCAGTCCAGCGTGGTCTGCTCTTGTTGCTGCGTCTGCCCGCGGTGTGTGCGGGTAAACGGCAGGGGCTGCACCTTCTGCGAGCGGAGGCGTTGCGGAGGCGTTGCGGAGGCGTTGCGGAGGCGTTGCGGAGGCGTTGCGAATCGCGCCTCACGCAATACGCGAAGGCGATTGGTACAGACTGGGAGCGCTCTGGCAGCTGATTGGTCGGGCAGGATGTCACTCAAGGCGCTGTGTTGAATAAAGATCACCTGTTGCTGAAGCTGTGGTCATAGACTGAATAAAATGCAGAAACGTTTCACTTAAAGCTGGGGTATGTGACTTTCATACTGCAAAAAATATGTAGGTATATAAAATATAAAAATATATACGTAATATATACGATATTTCCACCAGCTCAGCTCTACCCTACATAACTGTACTCTACTTTACTACTCCCCACTGATTGAGTGTGTTTCCACTGGCCTTGTTTGGCCAGTATCAGGTCCTTTTTTACTCCCTCTTGGCCCTGGTTACCAAAATGTTTTGCCATATACGGGTTTGTTGTGGGTAAGTTATTAGTATGGCACCAGACACTAAAATGTAAAGGACAGTGCAGAACAGAGAACAGTAGAGTACAGTAGATATAGTAGAGTAGACTAAAGTACCCTCTGCTCCTTACATTTCAAAACGACTAGTTTATTTGCTGCACAACATAATTTTTTTTTGAAGCGGTTCGCTACGCCTGATATATAGGTTCTTTGTTTTTAATAGGATTAAATATTGAGTGATAATTGCAATATTATAATGAAAGCATTAATTTGGAAATTATTAAAGAGTCAGTTGCACTTATTATAATTGTAAAATGAAAGCAACAGTTTGTGACTTTCTTGTGGTGAGAAAATCTGCCCTAAAACTACTGGTTTAATGTCATACTGCATACAAGCACAGGCAAAAGAATGAGTCAGGGTTGTGGAGATACTAGCCAGACATGCTTTTCTAACATTTTAACCAAAAAAATTTCACAACAGCAGGCTATTAGCCTGCTTAAAAGTTACACACTTGGGTTTTAATTTAATAAATGCAATTCATTTATTTGCTTTACAACAGCAGAACTCTACCAATATCTCTACTTCTATAGGAAGTAAGAACTCTCCAAAGGTCTATAGGAGCCATTCGGCCATAGGGAGCGGATGACAACGGTCCAGAAATGTTAATAAATGTCCTGGATCATCACTGTGATTAGTTACTATCCTGCTGAGCCTTAGACAAGTGTTATATTTGAATTATCACAGTTTTAAGTCTACAAAGACATACAGCAGTTTAATTTTTTTTTAATTTTGATGCAATCATTCAACATTCAGCTAAAGCCAACTCATCCCCAACTACAACTATTATGAATCTCCCAAAGCTCGAAGATCTATGTGAAAAACAAGACTAGACCTGCTCACAACCGAAAGCAGTACTTACGGAAGGTGAAGCCAGATTAGTCAGCAGCTCTCCTTTCTCTAAACTGAAAGCACACCCCTCCTCTCACCCTCCCGTCCCCTCTGTTTTGCTTCAAACCTATTGGCTGCAGGACAGAAACAGCTCACCCCAGCCCCGCCCACTCAGCACGCCCGACAGATAACAACATTAAACGCACCCTTCTTACATAATCGGTAAAGTTGATGTTCCCAGAAGGAGCCCACAGCTTAAGTGGAAGTCTGAATCATGAGGTTTGTGCAAATGTGGGACGACCTGCGTGAAGGAGATAGATGTGTGATTGTGCAACTGGACCAGGATGGACTGTGTGTGGGCCGTTAGAGGACTGACTGTTCAGGAAGGATCAAGAAAAAGTCTTTAGTGTTTATCAGACATATCGGGAACAGTGTGCATTCCTTCTAATGTTCGACATCAGCACTTTGGAAACGTGTTTTATAAAATCTGCTATATAAATTTAGTGGATTGGACACCAACATGTGTTTGTTTGGGCATCAGTTCAATAATGATCCAGTTTTACCCTGTCCTAATATGACACCTTGTCTCATCTTCCCAATCACAATCTAAACAATGTATCTGATTGAAAGCAGAAACATGGAACTTTGCCTCATGATAACATCACATGAGTGATGAAAAAGTTATTTGGATTAAGGACAAACGTCGGGAAAACCCGCTAAGTACAGCTGATGGGTGAGAAACCTTCCTTTGCTATCACATGAGTGAACTAAGTTTCGAGCCATAATATAAATTTAAATCACAAGCGTGAAATTGACTGAAAAATCATATTTGTCACGGACTTTTCCAGTTCACATTATCTCATCTGAGATAGAGACAAACTGCTACATTGTTTATTAAAAAGTTTCAAGATGAAAAGGTCCTCCCACACTGAGGGGCCAATGGGAAATGCTGTGGGAGCTTAAAATCACGAAGATCGGAGGAGACCAAGACATTGCCGTGGACATGGACACAGCCGCGGCAGAACCGTGGCGAAAAGCTCAGATTATAGGCTATCACCAGGCGCTGCATCTACATCACCAGCTGAGAAAACAGAACATTCAAATGCAGGCTGTTGATATTCTGGTGATTGTTTGGCGGGGATTCTGTGTGATTGCATATTTGAGGCTTGTCCCCTGAATATGTTTTGTTGAAACTTGTCACATAGTAGTTGGACTCGGAGCGGGTTAGAACATCCCAAGACCTGTGTTGCAGATTCTGGCTTATTACAGTCAATGTGAAGAAAGTTATGTATTGTTCACACGTGCACATGCTGTGTTTTAAGTCATGCTGTGTGCCTTTCGGTGCGTGTGGGTTGCGGTGTTGGCATGTTTGCTGTTATGAGGCGAGGTTCTAGATTTTTGCATAATCATTTTTCTAAAAGATTCTTGTTTGGTTAGTTCTTTTACATATTTGCGGTCCTCTATGGTTCTTATACATAACTGAGGTCCTCCTAGCCTGACTCTTGCCAGACCCTTGTAGTTCCTCCATGCTTCACCAGAGGCGTTTCGCTGAACACAAGGGTCTGGGATTGAGCGCAATCCAAACTCCTTCAAGATAGCAGATAATAATGAACCAATCAGGATCGTCGGTGGAAAATCTTGCCAGCATCTGGCAACCCATGGGAGTCGTGTGCTTCGATGTGAGTCGTTGAAGTAGCACGTCATTCAAAATAACGGATGGTTTAAGTGGTTTATCCAATCACATACAAGGATTTTTTTTACAAGGCCCTGCCTTCTGAAATACATCTATCAAGAAATCCCTGACCCTTGTGTGAAGCTCAGCGAACTACAAGGGTCTGGTGAGAGTCAGGCTATTTCCATGGTTCCTACTTCAAACTTGTCAGTGCACGTTTGAAGAAACAATAATAGTAGCACTTGTGAAACAAAAACGCGATTCTCGCATCTTTTTGTTGATGCTGCATTGACATGGAGAGTCCTTAGCTCTCATGTACATTTTTAAGCCTATCATAACAATTAAAACACATGGTAGAGGTAAATATTCTTAAAAAGGTCACATTTGTTATTGGTTAACATGTTTTTTCATTTAAATAAAATTTCAGTAACTGTAAAAATGACCTTAAAGCAGCTCTACTTGTGTACATGTCTCTCCATGGCCTCGCACCAAAGTACTTGTGGCCATACTTGCATGCGAAAGCCAGATCCTGTCAGACCTCCTTCTTCACTCTTTTTATTATACTGTGATTTTTTATGATTTTTCTTATTTTGTTCAGCACTTTGAGTTTCCTTGTGTATGAACTGTGTTGTGCAAATCTACTTGCCTTGGTTTAAGATTGTAACAGGTGAGGGGCCTAGGGATAGAAGTGTTGCTCAAGGCTACAGTCATCATACATTTACATATAACTCGTCTCTGACTGTGTTTGGAGCAAGTTTGGATCAGTTTGAGAGAGAGACCTGTGTCCCATTTATAAACCTGTGCTGTATTTGGTTTCCCAATGTCACATAGTTGAAAATTAAGGATGTAGGCCCAAGACTGAGGTTATAGGAGACCACTGATCTCCTGTCATTGCATCGATCTGCAGCAGAATACGGATTAACTTGTTTCTTATTAGTTTTAGAGCAATGTTGAGATTTCCAATGTAGCTGACCAAATACATATTGTCCCATGGGTGTCAAGATCCTTTTATTCCACCAGACCTACTCTAAATTAACTCTACTCGACTGGACTCGATTGGGAATGTTTCCACTGACCCTGTCCATCTTTAGTCCCTTTTGGCCCCGGTTCTATCCAGGCCAAGCTGGTACTAAAAGGTTCTAACTGAAAGTGATTTAGTGCTTCTGGAAGCCATGGTTACCAAGAAATTTCCCCAGATACTGGTTTGTAGTGGTAATGTTGCTAGGATATATTGCACCAGATACTAATGCGTAATGGAAACGCAACCAGGTAGAACAGAGTAAAGTAGAGTACAGTAGAGAAGGGCTGGTGGAAACAGGGCTATATATTTAACCTATTTGATTATCAGAAAGAAGCATGAGATGTCTTCTTAGTTCAAAAAAGATATTTATAAAGACTCCGGATGAAAAATAGCCGCTTGGCTAATTCTGGCATATTTACAGAAATGTTCATTAATATGCACTGTCCCAGAAATAAATAAAGAATTGAGAGGAGAATTTTCATAAATATAAATCAACATCATGTTCGTAATCGTTCCTGTTTTACAAGCTCACCCTCTGACTGAGCAACTCTGTCATTGCCATAAACTCAAGAGATTCAGCCTTTTCTCCTTCCTGTTCTCTGATGCTGACAGCAGTAGGTCTAATAATGAAACATCTCTCTCATTCTTTGGACTTGTGTTCGGCCCACTGCGCTCTTTGAAAGCACCCCCCATGGAGCTAACCCACATGAAAGCTCCAGCAGCCGGCTCACATGCCACCAGCCCTGTTTACCACGCTGCATTCTCTGCTGGGCTTAAGAAGAATAACAGAGGGGTCGGAGGCCCAGCAATGTACGGCTGCTGATGATGATGTCAATATGTGGCAGCTTCATGCGCTGCACAAACATGTAAAGAAGAAATATAAACATAAGTTGAAAAGAAAAAATGTTATTTTCCACCTGTGCTGACCCCAGAGAGTGCTGCAAACACAAACACATGATTTAAAGTTTTTTTGATTTAACTTTTGCCAAATTGCCAAAAATGAATTTGTGGACTTCATGTAGGAAAAGCAAAACAGGGACAGTATGTTTCATCACAATGATCCAAAAATTATATAACTCTTTGTCTAATTATAAGGTTCTTTTAATCTGACAAAATGTAAAGAAGCAAGTTTGGCTTTATCACCACGCCTTCATCAGAGGCC